TTTTTTCCCTGAGACCACTGCGATTATGTATAACGAGAATTCTAGAGGCCAATCCCCAGCCCAAGCAGAAGCCAATTACTTGAATCGCGCAAAATGGCTGGAGCTCTACGGCGTCGACATGCATACTGTAGAGGGCAAGGATGGAAATCAGTACGTCCTTTATTTCACTCGTCCACTAACTTGATTCATCATATTATACTTCAGGTATTCCCTTGGCTTGACACCTTCCGGTATGCTCGTTTTCGACGGGAAAGAGAAGATTGGGCTTTTTTCATGGGAAAAAATTCAAAAGCTTGACTTCAAGAACCGCAAAATTACGCTCGTCGTTGAGGAGGATGCCGATAAATCAGTGAGTCTGTCGTCTGCATTGTTTCACTTCCACCTATAATTATAACCTAAATTTATTTTTCCTTCTACTGCTGAAGTTGATGGTGCCAACTTCTTTTACCTCTGTTTTTATGACAAGCAAAAAAACGCATTTCAGTTTCCTCTGGAATTTCTCCTTTCTGACGTCACTTTTCTTTATTTCAGGCGACCGGACAGGTCCAGCTGCACACATTTGTGTTTAACTTAACGTCCCATAAAGCCTGTAAACATCTTTGGAAATGTGCTATCGAACACCATACGTTCTTCCGGCTCAAAACCCGATCCTGTGTCAAGCATTCTCGTTCTCAGCTATTCCGCTTAGGAAGCACCTTTAAGTACCGGTAACTAGAAAATTGTTCATCATTTCATGTCAGACATCTGATCTGGCACTTACAGAGGTCGTACTGAGTACGAGACCGTCCACAAGGATGGTGCACGTCTGTCACGAAGAGCAACGGCTACCTTTGAGAGAAGGCCGAGCCAGCGATATGGTCCTCGACAAAGCCATGCACAACAGCGCAAATCAGAGCCAGTACGTGAAACCGTGAGTAATTGTTGTAATCTACTGTAGCGACTTCTGAAGAATATCTTTGCAGTACTCTGAACCACTCACTGCAAAACCTAGAAATTCATCAGCTGCGACGGAACAATTAGTCAGCCATCTTACTGTAGGAGATGAGGTAAATAGTAGTAGAACGACTGCACTGCCAACTCAACCAGTGATCCCGCCTCCAGTTATCGCGGTAAGATATACTGTTGTTCACTTTGATCAGAAGTTTTCCCGCAGTTTTCCCGTTTTCCCATATCATCTATACCTGTCTTGGAGATTCGCCAAAATTGTGAACCAAGTTGTGACTTAATCGATTCCACTGCTATCACCGAGGAAGCGGTCGCACTATATTATTAAGTGCACCAGCGGTGGAGCAAAGGCTTCTGAAGACGAGAGTAGTCAGGCTCCGGCAAAGTTCAAGCGATTTCGTCGCCGCGATTCTTCCAACAAGACAAACAGTTACGAGTCC